CAGGCTGTGAGTGTGTGAGTGAGTGACCATAAGCTGAACCTGGGAGCAGCGTGTATAACAAAAGCACCTAGCATTGGAGGGACAGGCAGCATATAAATTTTTGAAGCAAACAAACAAACAAACAAGCAAATAGAGACAGAGAAGTTGATATGAATAGTGAACCTGAAATTCTACCTTGCCTTTTACTGGACTAACTAGTGAGTTAAAGGTGACAGAGAAATCAACACAAAAATGGCAAATAAAAGAACAATTTACAGCAGTTGATTCCATTTTCTATGTGCATGAATGTTGTAATGTGACATTCTTGAACTATGAAAGTTTCAACATATTTAGGGCATGCACATTGATTGTATAGTGGCCCTATGCTGGCCTGCTATAAAGTAGAAGAGACCCAGCATTCTAGCTGGAGTAAGCTTACAATCCAGGCCTCTAACTAACCATTTTCTGGGCTAATTCTCAACAGAGAAATCTAAAACTCTATACTACAAGCAGAAGAGTTTTATGCCGGGAGCAATCCCACAGTGGCTGTTGAACCTAAGACCTAGTAAAGGCAGAAATCCAGGCTGACTCCATTGCCTAGTTCTGGTTAACAGAGAAAGTGCAGCAAAACTAGCCACCTCTGTTCATACGCTAACAGGCTGGAACAGTCTCACTAAAACTCCCTGATTTGCATATCTAAGGCCCATCTTTCTCCCTTGCTTGTTTTGGCAGCAAGTGGCCAGACTACTCTGGTGTAAAACATTCTCACTGCAGAGAAGCAAGATGTGACCATTACTGCTGCCCCACAAGAAGTTGGGGAGCAGGTATTTTTCCCTAAACACATGTATGTTAGGCTATGTGTTACTGTCTGGTGGGCTATTAGGAGATCTGGTACCTGCCTCTTGCAACAAAAAGCCTTTGCTTTGCATTTGTTTAGTTCTAGTGACATTTCATACGATAATCACCTCTACTTTCAGCTTATCAATTTCTTCTTTTGCTCCTCTAAGGCGAGCTGCATCTTTATCCAAGAGTTCCTGATTTTCTGCATACCACTGGAGTCTTTTTTCTAAGCGTTTGATTTCACCTTTGTAGGACTCTTCCATAATCTTCATTTCATGTGATTTTTCAGCTAGGAGGTAAATTTGTGACAATGTATATATGACTCATGCTTAATATTTTTATAAGCATCATTGTTATTTTTCATTTTAATTTTGTTTCAAAGTGTCAGCTAAATTTGTATATGAAAACTTTCCACAAAATATGGATTAGTGAAAGCCATGTACTAATGCAACTTGCCTTCCTCCAAATGCAATAGTGATATTCTTTGGGTCTCTTTTTCATGATGAAAAGAAAGCAAAGGAGGTGTTTTGCAATGCATGGGAGCTCAAATGAACACATTCTCCTCCAGTCTTTAAAGCAGCTGCATCTTTTGCAAAGTTGTTTCTGATGCAGCCATATAAGCCTTACAAAAGAAATGGCTGCTTTAATGTTTTGTTCACACTCCAGTATCTTGTACAGTACAGTGGTACCTCTAGTTATGAACGCCCCTCCTTACGAATTTTTCGAGATATGACCAGCTCCGGCCCCAAAAATTTACCTCGACTTGTGAACTTGCCTCGACTTATGAACTGGATCCGCGGCCATTTTCCGCCCGTTCCACGTGGTCCGCGGCCGTTTTTCCGCCCGTCCCACGTGGTCCGCGGCCGTTTTTCCGCCCTGCCGCATGGTCCGCGGCCATTTTCC